AGCTGTATAACCCTAGGCAAGTCCTTTAACCTCTCTGGGCCTCAGTTTCCTCATTCGTAAAATGAGAAGGTAGGACTTGATGACCTCTAATATTCCCTCCAGCTCTAAATCTATGATCCTATGACCTAGACTTTTAAACCATGGGAATTTGACTTTCAGTGGGGTTGTCATGGAAAGTCCTGCTCTAAGAACCTTGTCCATTTTTATGGTAGGGATTTCAGGACTGGGATAAAGCTGATGGTAAATTGTTAGGATGTAGTCAACGATAAAAACATAATTCAACTTCTTCGGGCTTTATGCTATGACTAGTGAGTCCAATTAGAGCCAGCTGGGAATATAGTTTTAGACTGTGCTGGAAAAACCCACAGTTTTAGGATGTGTGTAGGGGAAATGTGAAAGAGATGGGTCTGGGACCTGCTAACTCTACCAGTAAATCACTTAACAGCATCCAATGATTTAATAGCCAGATGACTTCTCTTCCCACCACCAGCTTTAGGAAAACCCCTGAGGCCATCTCCTTCCAAAGCCAGTGGCCACACCTGAGCATTTTTACAGCTGGTTTCTTTGTGTTTGATCTGGGTCACCAGGGAGGGTGGCCTTGATCTGTGTATTTGGTTAAGCTTGTATTCATATAGAACAGAAGGAGCTGGAAGCTATTTATACATTTGGGCTTAGGCATCTTCACCACCTCTGTGTATCTATGCTCCCAGGACCCAGTGTATAATGACTGTCAAAGTGAATTGCATAACTACCCTTTTTTTGTTTCTATTTGTTGAGGAAGGGGCACAGGAAAAGACTAGAAAAAGAGGGAGGCATAGAGAAAGAGGAAAACAACAAAATGTCCTGCTCTCTCTAGAAAGTGCCCAGTAGTAGTAGGGCATATTGAGAATTTCTTTGACTTGATCTGTCATATGGTCCAGATTACAAACTATGTCTCCTTTGGAAGGACCAGTCCATGAATTTAAATCAACAAGTGGTTTATTAAGTGTAAATAAAGCCCTGTCCCAGACACTTGAGGATAGAGAGTGGACCTGTGATTTTATTGTTATTGGGAGGAAGAAAACAAACATTTATTAAGTGCCAGTGATGTGCTAGGCACTCTGCTCAGCTCTCTACAAGCATTATCTCATTTGATCTTCGCAATAACTCTGGGTGGTAGGTGCTGTTAATTATCCCCATCTTACCAGCTGATGAAACTGAGGCAAAGTTTAAATGACTGGTTCAGGCTCACATAGCTGGTAAGTATCTGGGGCCAGTTTTTTTTTTTTTTTAAGTAACCAGGATTAAATGACTTGCCCTGGGTCATGCAGCTAGTTAGTGTCTGAGGTCAGATTTGAACTCAAGTCTTCTTGAATTCAGGCCTAGGGTGCCGTCTAGCTGCCTCTAGAACTCCTGTATGAAGGGACTCCTCTTACCAATTCAGATCAGCACCTTCTCTGCAACTTATAGTGTGAGACAGTTGCCTAAGAGTACTGAGAGGCTAAGCGATTGACTAGCCCATGGTCACATAGCTGTTGGCTCAGAGGCAATTCTTGAACTCAAGCTCCAAGGCCAGGTCTCTATCCTCTCGACATGCTGTCTCCCATATTGGGGAATAGAAAGATAAAAATTAAATGGTCCCTGTCCTCAGGAAGCTTCTATTCTATGGAAGGAGTGGGGTATATACATGATCATTTGAGAAGGAAGGAGAGAAGACTAATAAGATGGGAAGTCTTCCTGTAGGAGGTGGCTCATGACTTGAAATTTGATTAGATTTGTTTTGGAGTTGTTTTTTTGTTTTTGTTTTTTTGCTGAGGCAGTCAGGGTTACATGACCTGCCTAGGGTCACACAGCTAGTAAGTGTCAAGTGTCTGAGGCTAGATTTGAACTGAGGTCCTCGTGGCTCAGAGGCTGCTGCTCTATCCACTGCGCCACCTAGCTGCCCCCTTTGACTTGAAATTTGAAAGAAAACAAGAATGCTAAGAGGCAGAGGGTAGGAAGGAATCTATTACAGTCATCCAAGTATATACTGGGCACTCCAGTATTTTCTGTGCAAAGTCTCAGAGGCAATAAATGGAGACCCGAGTTTAGAGAACAGCAAAGAGGCCAGTTTGGCTGGAATAGGATGGTGAAGGGGAGGAATGTGCTGTAATTCTGGAAAGATAGACTGGAGCCTCACTAAGTACAGAGTGACCTCTTTGTGATGAATGACTTGGCTATAGAAACCCATGATCCATGATCATAGATAGTCCAATCCAGGAAATGGGGCAGGCATTCTTCCCTACTTCGTGTTAGTGAGAAAACCAATGGTGGTTTTTTGGTATTTTTTTTTGTTTTTGTAATTGCCACTCTCCCTCCCATCAATTACGCAACTGATTAAAAGTCCATTTTAGTATTGGTGAGTCTGATCATACGTGTTGATTTTTCTAAAGATTCCTTGTTTTAAATAATTATGCTGTCATAGCTCATGATCCCAGACACAGACATGAACCAATTATTTCCACTGGGGTGCAGCATGGGTGAAGGAATGAGTTGATTTTTTTCTTCCTACCTTTCACACACGAATCCATCCAAAGAGTTTTCTTATAACACCTAGACAACTATATCCTACTTTATTCACTAGGTCATTTGTCTGGGCTGTCTCTTGACTATTTCCAGTTCCTTTGAGTTCACCCAGGGTGACACAGGTTTGCCTCCTCTAATCTCCAAGTGGCAGCAGACTATGACTTGTTCTGGAGTAACCTCTGCCATTGTATTGCAATTTTAACTTTATTTTGCAAGAAAAAACAAACAGTGGAAAGATGGATGCTGTGGCCCGCATGCTCCCAAGACTTTATAAGAAAGAACTAAATGCATTTTCCACTCAATATCCAGCTCAATGTCTGAAACGTGGTGTGTAGGCTAAGCTAGATTCTTACCTTATTCATAAACATTTTCCTCCTTTTTTATAGTCTGTATGTCTTATGTCAAAGATTATAGAGGTGAAAGAGACCTTTCAGGTGACTAGTTTCATCTCTTTGCCAGGTCGTGAGAAATAACACTGTCTGCTTCATCCAGTCCTGATTAGTACCATACCCCACAAATGCTCTAATTCCCCTCATCTTTCCCCTTCCCCCCCTAAAAAAACAACAACAACCTAGCTTTGGGTGGGAGAAAATTAAAGAGGGCTGGGTGTGGCACTTAAGCAAAGAAGAACAATCAAGACCTGATTCCAGCTTGCAACATGCGTAGTCCAGTTGAAAGGATGTGTACTCATTTGGTGAATCAAGCCTTCTCTGTCTCCTGGCTCCTTGCTTCATTTCATCATCTGGTACGCCAGATAAAATACAGATGTTCTCAGCTACAAACACAAACCCAGACCGTTTTCCCCCTGGCTTGCACCTCCTTTTAAATGCCTGAATGCCAAACAAACTCATTTTCAGCATTCTGGGCCCAGCTACAGATCACTGAAGATAGCCCACTCTGCAGTTGAGACTGATTTCTCCTTAGCTATGCTTCCAAAAGAGATATGGGCTTAGGAAGCACCCCAGGTCCTCTTTAGCCATTGGCCAATGGGATCATAGAACTCCCAGGCCCTTTCTACTTTTCACTTACATGTGGGGAATGGTAGCAAGGAAGACTATACGTGGGAATCCTTCTTTCTGGAATCCAGAAAGAGATCTTAATCCTGACCTAGATAGATCACTCCTGCAAGCTGTTGGGAAACTCATCTGTTCCCTCAGCTGCTGTTCCTGGACTGAAATGACCCCTTTAAAGGACCATTGCCTAGAAATCAAACTGAGAACATCTCTCATTTCACAAGCCTCTCTCGGTGGAATGCGAATCAGATTTTCCCAGCCGGATGGGTCATTGTTTGTGATAGGCTTAACCAGTGAAATCACAGGAAGGGCTTGCAAGCTAGACTGCCTACAGCCAGGTGGTCAACCCTACATAAGCAGAATTGAAAGAAGAGCACTCAGATGAAGAGCCTAAAACGTAACCTTTTCCTTTCCTCTCCCTCCTTGAGTCCCACATTGGCCTGTACCCGTCTTTAGAAAAGGATACTTTTTGTTTTAAAGGGACCACTCCAAATTCCAATGAGATGCGTGAGGGATACTGTTGGTAGCTCTCCTATGACAAGTGTAATCATGCATAAAAAATGGAAAAGAGTCCTGGATTTGGAGTCAGAAGGCTTGGGTTCTAATCCTGACTCTGTCGCTTATCATCTGTGGGATCTTGGGCTAATCTCTTTGATTCTCTTTGACGCTGAGAAATGAGGATGTTGGACTGAATGATCCCCAACTAATACTCCTGGCAACTACCGGTAACTTTAGATAGCACTTCACCTATTCAACGGGAAAGACTTGGGGAAGGCTCAACTTTATCAAAATAAATTTCTATCTGAATTTGGCAAACGTCAGGAATATTGAATTTGGAGATTGGTACATTTGTCTGCATTACTTTACCGATATCCAAAAATAGCTGGTCCTTGTAAGAGTTGGGTTGTTTCCATAAAATGTTTGTCCCAAGGGAAAGAACAGCACCTTAGAGTTAGAAGACTAGGGTTCAAATTCTGCCTTTGACGATTAATATATGTGTGACTTTGGGAAAAATCACTTAACCTCTCTGGTCCGAAGTTTTCTCAACTATTACATGAAGAGATTGGACTAGGTGGGTTCTCCATGTACCTCAGTTTCCTCATCTATAAAATGAGGGACTAAATGGACCCTAAAGGCCCTTGTAGCTCTTGATATATGATCTTATGTGTAAAGTGGATCTATAAATTTCTCATGGTATCAGGTCACCAGGTAGAGCTTCCATCAGTTTCTTTGTTGTTCTCTCTTAAGCACAAACCACAGGTCCCTTTGGCAAATACCGTATTGTACTCAGCAGTTGTCCAACCTGGATTTTCACCATTTAGCTTTTGGTTCACTGCCCAGTTCTCTTCCGTCTGAGGTCTTATTTTGTCCAGAGTGGGGGCTGAGCAGGGTCCTAATAGAAGCAGATGGGGCCCTGCTGTTCCATCACCGAAAGGTACATACCGCTCTCCAATGTGTCTCGTCCTGGGGTCTTGGATGGGTCCACACATTTCCCATCCACCAGCTGTAAATCTTCTTTGCAGCTGCTGCACTTATCATAGCCAAGCCCTGTGCAGGTTTTGCAGGTTCGGTGACACGGCTCACACTCTCCCATTTCAGTGTCACTGTAGAAACCAGGGCCACACTCTCTGACACAAACGCCACCTGGGAATGTGGAAAGGAAGCCATGAAGGGCTAGCATGATATGGTGCAACTTAGATCAGGTGATGAAAAGGCAGACTATGTCATGAAATATCTTTTGTCTTCTTTAGGCCATAAGAAAATAGAGTCAAAGTCCACTCTTAGACACAAAGGTCACTATTGAAGAACACTGTGTACTTTCCCACCCCGAGCACGAGCCTCTTGGACCATTAGGAATCCATTGGAAAGACCTGTATTTTTAGCCACACAACTTCCATCAAAATCAATGGGCCATCGCAACCATCATTCAGTGGGATGCTGTGGCCTTTTTACAAAGGTCACTTGAGATTTCCTGCTGCAGGACTGAGTCTTGAGAGAAGATTCATGAGCCCTGTATGATTGCCATTCCAGAGGCCCAATTCCTGCATTATTCCCATCAGAATAAAGACATTTAAGAATAACAAATGAATGACTACCCCGCTTAAGGCAAAAAGAAGCCTTGGCTATTAAAAAATGCTGGGGTTTTTTTCTAACCAGATTAAAATATCCTCCACACTCTCAAGGCCTGAGAGGAATCATAGTTTTAGAACTGGAAGGGACCTTGGTGGTCATCTGGTCCAATACCCCTTGTTCTATAGATTAAGAAGCTGAGGTCCACAAAGATTAGGTGACTTGCTCAAGGTCATATAAGCATTAAGTAGGAGAACTAAGACTTGAACCCACGTCTTCCATCTCTAGCTCTACACCAGGAAGCCTCATAATCATTTTCTATTTGACTATTCCCTGCTCACCGAAAAGATAAAACCCCTCTTCACACCAGTAGCACTCATTCTGGTCGCAGTCCCCACAATATTCACTGCACTCTCTACATTCAAAATCTTCACTGTAGGTCTTCTCAGGACAAGTTTGATAGCAGTGCTGCTTGAACCTGTTGAGAAAGAATTTCAAGTCTTCCATAAAATGATCTTTACACGAGTATCTTTTCTAGCAGGGCTACATGCATTATAAGCTGAGCAGGGGTGTGCTGGAGCCAGCTCCTACCAGCTCTTGAGAGCCAATTGCTAAGTTTTCAGCGAGCAGTTACATTTTGGAATCAGCAAACACCACAAAGCAGGACTCAAGTTATCATTTTGTTGATTATCTAGACTTAAGAAAGCTAATGATGCCTGCCGATTAAACTCAAAAGTATGTCATGCCTACTTTTTTTTTTCCTCGTCAGCAAGCCAACCTTGTGTGGCTAGTTGGAAACACCAAACCAAAGCCTTTAGGATCTTCTCTTAACCTTTGCAGCACCTTTAAGACATTAAAAATCAAGCTTTCTTTTATAGTAGGTGACTCTACCTATGTGGAACTTTTCTATGGGGAAATTTGTATTCAGTATTTATATTTCCCAGGCCTTCAGTTGTTTTAAAAAAGGTGCCCTATAGGAAGCTCTATGGTAGTCAAGTGAGAGTGGATTCATTATGGATTCTAAAAATGAGTAGGGTTGGAAATAGAAATGAGTTTGGATCTTTGCAGAAACTAATAATAGCTCACATTTCTATGATGCTTTCTTACTATTAAAATATTGTCTTCCCTTTTAGAATGTAAGTCCTTTGGGAATAGGGACTGCTATTGGTTTCTTAGCTTTTGTATTTAGTAATATAAAAGCATTTGGTATATGGTAAATGCATACTAAATGCTCCTTCATTTAATTATTTCTCAAAATAGCCTTCTGGGATAGGGCACGTGATAATTAGTTCTACTAAATAGATGAGGTAGCTAACGATCAGAGAGATGATGTGGGACTTATGCTCATGGTCACATTGCTCCAAGGACCAGTGAGACCTTCCTTGGTCCAGTTCTTAGAGATGCATCTTGTGAAGCATTGTCTCCATGACTTCTAACCAGAGATCTCTGTATTTTCTTAATGTATCTCTGTAAATGAAGTTTGAAAAGTATTTGAGGATCTTTTAGCAGGCCAGCTGCTATGTAAATGCCAGCTATGAGCACAATGACAAATTAATTTCTGCTCACCAAATGTCAACTGGCACACCTTATAATTATCAGACCTCAAATCCAGTTTGATATGTGTGTGTGTGTGTGTGTG